ACCTTTTGAGCTTCACTTTGGCCGTCCTCCGAATACGGAGCTATCTATTGCGGCTGAGCGTTTATCTACGGGCGTTAATTTAGATAACCAACCATTGGAACGGGAGCTACTAACACCCGAACAGCGTCGGGAGCAGTGCGATAGCCGACCGAGGATAAAAGTTGTCAGGAAGGGGCAGTCAAGCCCGACGGTGTCTCCATACCTTGGAGGACCTACGGACTCAGTTTCGGATACACCTCACTATCGCGCACATAAGAGCCTGGCACATTCCGCCAATCAGTGGCTGACGCTGAAAAAGTCCTAGTCACATCAGGAGGGAGTCAAAGCGTTGAAGACGCTGACGGAAAGAAATCAAGTCCTCGCAGCCACCCTTCGCTCCAATTTGTCTGCTGGTACCCTTACATTTAGGAACCAGATGCAAACGGATCAAATTCGCCCGTCGTTACCAAAACGTAATTTGGATTACTTAGTATTGAATGAACCAAATAAAGTCGAAATATTTAGGAAATTTCTAAATAGGAAGTCTGGCAGAGAATTTTTCAAACCTTTTAAGGGCAAAATTGTGCGGATTACTGGGTCCACATTTATTTCTGATAAGGGAAAATAGATTAGAAGAAATCATTTGGCGGTACGTCTTAAATCAACCGATCTAAGTTTTTCAGGCAAACAACTAACGCCTGTCAAGAAGGGGCAGAAACGCCCCATTGTGTCATCTTCACCCTCATCATCAGATGAAAATCGGCCTCTCAAACAATCGAGTTCACGCCAACGAATCACAGCCAAAACTGTAAAGGTACCTGCTCACCCGAAATTCCTATCTCTGCCAACTTCATATACTCAATCTCGTGGCCAAATTGTATCAACTAAGTCAAAGGAAACTTCAGTCCCGGAGGCTCCAGGCGTACAGACTATTCCTTTTCCACAACACTCTACTCTAGTAGTAGACTTAACGGCAACTTCTTCCACTTCTGGAAATCAAGGAACGGAGGTTCCCATCAGTATTAAACCAAATTCACCAACTTCAGTAAAAAATCCAGTATGTCCAGACCTCATCCCCATTTCTTCAGACGATGAGTCTTTAATTCCGAAATCTCAAGAAGGAACTTCGACAAGTTTGGCAGCATCGGGCCTTCCCACCCGAGATGGTCCCGGCATAATGTCCGAACCGGATGGAAATATCTCATCTTCTTCGAATTCGTCTCGTGCCTCTTCACGACGGAAAAAGCAGACCACATTTTACGGCAGTCCCATCAGACATTCCGTGAATATCATTCACACACAGTCGATTTCTACACCTCCGTCAACTACTCCTGCTTCGCCGGACAAGAAAGTTCGTTTTGTCGTGGCTAATCCAGAACTATTGAACCAAGCAGGACCGTCTCGGGTTGTTCTTCCCGATGATTACGAAGGCTTATATAGAAAATTCACGCGCTTCCCTAAAAAGAGTTCTTCCGACCATCCATTGCGTCGTTCAGACAAATAATACTTTTCGTACCTTCGAACTAGCTTAAACTTACAAAACTTTCGTATTCTCCCTCAAGTCACATCAGTTCATTTGCAAAACTCCTAGTATTTTATCTGATACAAGAAGTACTGTTTAACGTCCGCGAGGGCACATTTAGTAATTTTTTCTCACAGTAAAGAAATTCAAAGGTTGTTTGAATTTTTCCCGAGAGGGGGAAATGTGGTGTGGCGTAGTTTATTAGAATATTATGACGTCATTAGTGTGCTAGTTATTCGTGCTAAACTCGCCTTTTGTTTATCAAGGTCGCGACCGACCTGCCAATCCTTTCTAGATTTATCATCAAGTGCTCTCATTTATTCTGTCTCAAATTATGAAAGATTTAAGTTGTATTTAAAAGATTTGTCATGACATTATCTACATAACTGAAACTATCTATATTATTTACATTACTATTAAACATAAAACAAGGAGAATTGATTCTTGTTTTAACAACTGTTCTGTAAGCATTCACACACTGAAAAGTTTGAACGTAGCGTACGTTTTATCTGATGTTGTTTAACAATTAGCAAGGGACGAAACTGCAATCAATGTTTTAAGCCAGTCCTTCGGCTCGACCTCCATAGACTAAAAAGAAACATTTTTTCTCAAGAAAAAATGATAATCATACAATTTCGATATATGGAAACCCTATAACTAGCATTTTTTGATAGCAACAGCAAAAATTGTTCTAAGTAGTATTGAAATCGCTCCCAAAAATTAGTTTTCTTCAATCGCAAAACAAATTTTGAACATTCATTTAATTTTCTCAAAATATTTTTTTCTAAACAAGCTCAAAACGCCTATTTATTTTGCATGGTATAATTTTTTTATGCCCTGATCAATGCATGGTTCATAAAAAACTCAAATTTGAAAAATCTTCATTGAAATTTTTTGCTTCATTGATAGTTTCATAATATCATTTGCTTAAGATAAAATTAAGACAATAAGGGCCGTTTCCGATGCATTGTGATTGCTAGGCGGTCAAACCTTTGGTGACTCAAAATTCGAGCAACCAAGATCTTTGCCCTTTGTGTTCGATTAGGAACACATCTCAAAAACGTTGAGAAACGTTTTCTGTACTTATTGAATTGCATGAAATGTGTATGATTTTTAATTTTCCAGATATTAAAATTGTTTGATTAGCATTTTTGGGCAATCCTGGTTAACAAAAATCTAAGAACTTTTTCAAAGCGTGAACTGAGTTGTTTAAAAATTATGATTCAAAAGTTGATTGAGTTTAAATTTCAATTATGTTATTTTATTATAAAACAAAAGAAATTATAGATATTTTTGAGCTAACTCAAAGATTGTATTTTTTAACACTATAAAACAAAGCCAACAGACAAATTGAAAAGAGTCAATAAACGCTGGTGAACAAAAAAAAATTTGGATGAGGAAGGAAGTTTTAGATGTTTTTAAAGCTCTTTCAATTTCTATAAAATTTCACAATAGATTCTGTTTTCATAAAAACCGTTCCTTAATTTTTCATAGACACTACGTTCTTCGACTTCAAAAAAAATTGTTGAATTTGATGAATGAATGTTCATAAAAACCATCCCGACGCTCTATTTATACAAGATGATATTCAGCATATAGTTTTGGTTTAGAACAACTAGCATGCCCCGATTAAAGTCGGATAAACAATTCCCGTCAAAGAGCAAAATAAAAATTGAATTTTTTTTGGGAAAAAAACACACCGAGCACAAGACTGCGGAATCCACAAGTTGATCAGTACAGCTGTGTCTCTAAAAAGACTACAAATTGACTTTGTAACAACTTAGAAATTACAAGCAACGATTGTGTTTCTGAGCATTAAATAATGAAAAGTGTAATTTTAGCTCCACTTTGAGTTTCTAATATCACGTGAGGTCAAAACTTGAAGCGCTAAAACTAAAAAAACTGAAAATGAAAACAAGACTATTCAGCGCACAGCCCCGAGTGCCGCCACTAACTCTTAATTGGCCTCGAATAGTTTTGGTTTAACCAAACTTTGACGGAGAGGTAAAGTTGAGCTTTGCACCGCTTGCGATACTAATGTAAATGACTTTGAAATAATAAAAAAATCATTGTAAAAGAGTTCAAAAATCAAAAATTGCAAAAGCCCAAAATATCCAGAAAAAAATTGCCTGCACCATTAGAAACTCACCAAAGAGCATGTCAATGCTACTCAGAAGCCAATTTGACAAAAAGCTTTCTCTGCGGAACTAAGCAGACAAAAATCCGCAGTCAGACAATAATCTGAATTAGCCAAATATTTCTACTTGCAAGGAAAACAGGTCTCAATTGGAATCGAACTCCCGTGCTCTTTTGACTCAAGCTAATGAGGCAACTAAGTCGATATTACCAAATCGAGCTGGTAAAGTTACAAAAAAAATCGGCTAAAAACAACTGCAGTGAAAATTCGTTGCCGTCAGGCTAAATGTGCAAAAGACACTACAAATTTTGAATTCAATATAAGCAAACGGACCACACCAGTCTTTTGAGTCCTGTGGACAAAGTTGTTCACGGGAAAAAAGTCTAGTACCCGGTTGCAAAACCTTTGGTTTTGCAAGAGTAATAAACTAACAACTTTGGAAAATATCAAAGAACAAGGGTTAAAATTTGAGTCGTATGAAATTGGTACGACTGATTAGCTTGCTCAATTCAATTTGGAACGATTTTGTAGTGCGGTATAATTCGCCGCGCACAAATAGCTTTGGCGTCGTAATTAAATTTTTACAACGCGCAAAATTAGTCCAGAGCAGGCCCAAATTGGCAACTTTCAAGCCCGCAGAACTTCACAAAAATGATCGAAAGTATAAAAAAATGATCGGAAGTTCAATGATATATTTAATGCAGGATAAAAAGTTTGTTAAAAAACTATTATTCCGATCGCCGAAATTTGACTAAATAAAAAACCACCCAAAGGATAACACAGAGGCGAGTCTGTTCTTCGCAACCACTAGCGAGAACACAAAAAACAACTCTAGAAATAGCAATAACAAGAAAAAATAAGCCTCTCGGGTTGGTAAATATTTGGCCAAGTCTCGGATTAGATCTGCGACCTTGGGATTATGAGTCTCACGCACTAACTACGCAGCCACGGATGCTTAACACTTCAAAAAATAGCCACAAATGCATCACAGAGATCAGATACTATAAAATCTCCAATGCTAGAAAACGCGACTAAATAAGTGAACAATTGTATTTACGAGTTAGGTTGGGAATAAGGTTCGTACACTACGCTCGCAAGCTCAAATATTCAATCACTTTAGTCGAAAATTTAAATTAACAAAAATGATTTAAGTTACTTTATTAAAACTGAAGATACGTGCAGGCGCCAGGAATCTCAGAATGAATTGCCAGTGGTTCATAAGTTAAATTTTTTGATGAATTGTTGGAATCGTTTTTACTGACGCGGGGTAAGGAGACACATCGCTGAAAACAAATCCAGAAATTCCTTTGCTTTCTTAAATACCTCGTTCAATAGCAGCTACTAAAACATTAAATGGATCTATATTAAGTCAAAATTCAATTTCCATGCCTATTAAATTCAATTACTTGCCAATTTAGTTAACATCAAACAGCATTCCAATGTTATTTACAGAAAAAAAAAACAATAAAAGTTCGCAGTTCTCAGATTAAAAATTCAAATAAAATTTGAGTTTTTTCGTTCAAAAGATTCTCTTTCGTAATCTTCTTCGCCAACATTACATTTTTCCTTCCATTTTCAGGTGAAACTATCCACCTCTTGAGGTTTGGTCAACCATTGTCCCAATTCGCTCTGTTGCAGACTGCGAATGAACTCCTTCTTAGATTTAATGTAGTCCGTACTGTGTGATTTGCACTCCCTGTACGTCCTCGGCTCCTTGTCGTTGCTGACGGCTGCTGTGTTTCGAACTGAGATTTCAGTTTGAAGAAGAGCTTTGAACTCTCCGAACATAGACTGTTTCGAAATAGAGGACACCACGGAAGTTTCGATTAACTTTCCTGAAAAATCAGACAGTATAAAAACGCTAAGATCGTTCAGCAGTTAGCATAATCTTAATTTAGAGGCGAAGCTGAGTTTCGCACCACTTGCGATACACAATAAAACTCCAAAAATCAAAAGATAATGTGTCTTGAACCAAAGTTGAAAACAATGAATGCAATATAAAAATTACAAACAATTGAAACAAAAAAGAACTTGTAGAAAAACTCTGAAAGCCTATGAAATAACGCAACTACATCAAAAACTATGAGTTTATTATGAAATTTATACGCAACGGTAAAAGAGCTAGATCACAACAGTAAAAAACATTGAAAAACGCCAAAATTGAAATAAAAAAAATATGAAAAGTTTATCAAAAATTTCAGCCAGAGAGAACCACACGCCTAAATCTCGTGCAAAATTTGCCGCCACATTACACCTATGAAGACGAAAAAGTCGAGTCAAACTTGCTAAAAAACATCTGCAAACATTCAAAATTTTCAAATAAAGTTGCTTAAACCTAAAATACACATAACTAATTAAAAGTAATAAAAACCAGAAAACCATTAACTATATTTACCCTCAAGAATATGAAAAAAAAAGTATCAAAAAACCTAACAAAAAATTTACAGAATTATTTACCCGGCAATAAGCCGACAAAAATTGGGTCGAAATCAATTAAGTCGACAAAAAATCAACTTACATCTAATATTTTTTTCAGCTGTAAAACAATTATCACTTCAGACGTGAAGCCAGCTTTTGAATTACAGCTATTAGACGTGCATCTTGGGAAGAAACAGAGATACATTTGAAGATTACCAAATTTCGGTCATCCTGAGGACAAAGTTATTTACGGGAAAAAAGAAAGTCTAGTACCCGATTGTAATACCCTTGCTTATCGCAAGGGTAATAACAAAACTTGAATCAAATCTACTGACTCTGAAGGTCAAAGCACACGCTATCAAAAAACTTCAAACGTGCCCCACCATTATTGGGGTGCCGCACCAATATTTGCGACTTAGGTCGGAAAAAAAGAAGGGTCGTACTAATACACTCGCTTCGCAAGTTAACACAGAGGCGAAGTTGCGCTTTGCATACACAAGCAAAAAAAATGATCGATAACGCTACTAGGAAAAACTGAATGAGTAAAATTTTGAGTCTACAAAATTTCTAGAGTGACGCAAGCCAATTATGACGCATTAGCAATACCAGTCAAATTAAAAAAGAAAGAAAGTTACCAATAGCACATGCCTCAAATTATAGAGCGGACGCATTTTAGCTAGTATGCGAAAAAGTTCATTAAAAACATCGGACCCTGACCAGGTTCGAACCATCTTATTTTGTTGCGGGTCTCCTTCACTCCTCTACGCTACAGATCCATGATACCTTGAAGCCAAAGTGATATTTGTAATAGAAGGCTGCTCGTGTCAGAGCAAAGCCCTGAATGTTCCGACTGCCTTTAAGGTCTATGGAGCAGTAGTAACATGAAAACATTAAATGAAATAAAAACAAAATGAGTTTTTTTAATTTGAGAATTTTTCGTGAAAATCATCCCCCCGCACACGCCATATAAAGTACAAAAGGATAGATTTGGCTCCTTGTAACAAATCAATTATGGAAAATAAGCTTCGTCAACCACCAACTTGGAACGATTTCTGAGACTGATTAAATCTCCGCTTACGCGTTAAAAGCGCAAAATACATCGCGCGTTAATTGACCCTAATTAGCCAAAATGGGAATCGGCGTTGATAGCCCCAAAACTTACACAAAATGATCACAAGAAAAATATATTTTTAAATTTAAGCTCAGGACAACAGTACTTTTTGAATGAAATAATAAAAACTCCGTCAAAAATGCCTAGTTGAAGTCGAAATTTGTCTGAAGAAAAAAAACACCCCCGGCACAAATATTCCGTTACATTCGTTAGTAAAATCGGAACAATAATAGTCGAGGTTAACATCCTTAGCATTGGCTGTACTTAATAGCTGGTTATTGATCAAAATGAGCTCATTTTATCGCAACAATACTTGCGTCGCAACAATATTTGCGACTTAGGTTGGAAAAAAAGATAGTTCATACTATAACACAAGCTTTGCTTGTGTAAAAATGGAACATTATAACAATGGAATAATCTGTTAATTAATAATAAGTTAATTTTTATCTGTATTTGAAAACAAACGGACGGAAATTATGAAATATCATCACTGCCCGCAGTTACAAACCCGTGGAAGTATCGACAATCTCCATAGCGTCCCCATCCACGCAAGTCCAGTTCATGGAGTAGGGCAGAGACTTGGAAGCCTGTCTGGCCTCCTGGATGTCCACACTGCACAGCATGGGCCTGGACAGACGGAAGGGAGCCGCCAGTTTCTTATCATTTTCTGAAGACTCTCTTGTAAAACAATCAAATGTAATATACCACAAAACGAAGTTTTCGTATCTTGACATGGGAGTATAACTGATTATACAATGCAGCTTTTACAGCCGATCAATTCAATCTTTTGAAGAACTAAAATATGACGACTCGCCTGTAAATTTGTTGTTCAACCATTGAAATTGGGGAGGAACTTTGAATTCGGGTGTTTTAGTTTTTCTCTTTTTTTGTTTTCAACGCAAAATCAAGTACCACAAATACCTATCGGATGTGTAACGCCCAATTTGCCTAACTTACTGTGAATGTCGATTATGCATAAGTTCTAGGATTTCGTCAAATATTTCTATCACACCACGGACAAAACACGCATACAATTTAAAAAAAAACTTGAAAAATGTGGTTGGAAAATTCTGTGCTATTTGCTCAGCAACCGGCTATTCTTGTTTAGAAGAAGAGGCTGTTTGGTTTGACGGCCTATTTCAAAGAAGACTGAGTTCCTTTACAGATAGTCGTGGTATGATCACTGACCTCTTCCTCCACCCAACCAGCGAACTTTTTACAGCAATTTTCCGTTCACATGGTAATATTATTAAAAAATGGCATGCGGAACAATTAGGCTTGAACAAGCATATATGATCTTTATGCTTAACCTCGTGAAGCCCCTCGTTACACTATAAAAGTGATGCATATTTGAGATAGGTGGGGAGTGGAAGAGCCGATCACTGCTTTATATAAAATAGCTTTTTTAGTTGACGGCTTTTACGTGCCCATTTGTACGCTTCGGAATCACTAGACTAACTTGAATCTTGAAATGACAGCTCTTTCCAAGTGGTCGGCGTGGTAGAAACTTCCGATGACAATGGATGACAAATACACTGGCTCTAAGAACCAACTGAGCAATCCTCCTAAGATAATAAATACCATCTGAGAAACTATGAACCTTAAATAATGCTGATTAATAATGTCTGTAAAAGATTTTTTTTTCAAAGAGTTCTTTGGGGTCATACTCGACAAACAGATTACATCTCGCCATAGTTTCAAATTTAATTGCGAATGGAATTATCTATATCTGTGGTACTTATCCAGATCAGACAAGAAAATAAACAAACTCCATTTTATCCAAGTCATTTATTTGAATTTGACTCATCTTACCTTGCATGCCGAGCACATTCATCCGCAGCACTTTGTCAGAGCAGGACAAATTCAAGAGTCTCTCTCCAGCCAACACTCCGTCGAATGTCTGAGTTCCGAAGTCCTCATTCGTCGACGGAATTGTTCCCTCCCCTGAAAATTCAATCAAGGTCTCACAACAAAAATAACCACAAAATTACCTTTGCTTCAGTAGCTTAAACATTTAGTATTTATTTCTTTTATTTCACTCCAAGAAATCAATTGCAGGAAGAAATGGATAAAAAACAATTGTGCTTAGTGTGATTTTTAGAAATTAGGCGACAGACACATCGTCTCCACCCTATTCTACATTACATTTCACCCATATCGGAGCCAACATACCCGCCTCGATTTTGACTCTGATGAGTCCCCTGTTCTTCCTGTCTGGGTGGGCATCGTTGCCCTGGTCCACTTCGTGGGGAGAGAAGATCCTGGCGTCACCACACGGCGTCGTGTTGATGTACAAGTGAAAGCGAACACCTGAAAAAAAACAACAAATTGTGCAGCATATTTGTGGTTTCAAGGAACCATCAGCTTCAGCACGGTTAGATTCAGGAATCTGACCATTTAATTTGAACTCCGTTTAGACGTTAAACAATAATAGGGTTGTTGTTTTCAAGCAATGCATTAATCTCATGATAAGACGAAGTCGCATTGAAAGAATATTATTTATCACAAGAGTAGAACCGACACTAACAGTTACGGCTTCAGTTTGCGATGTCCAGGTTAAAAACAATGATGCTAGTAATCAGCTGTTAAAAACAATCGATAGGAAATATTGCACAAATCATTGCAGCCAAGGCAGACTTATTTTTTTAAAATGAAAGTATAGATAGTAATACAGGGGCGGATCTAGGATTTTCTTGAGGGGGGCGGATTTTCAAGAACAATTTTGAAAATTTTGTCGACCGGAGGCAAAATTTTGAAAAAACAGACCAAAAAATGCGTTTTAGGCACTTTTTGGAAAAAGTTTACCAAAAAATCGCGTTTTTTCGTCGCGCGCTTTCCTCTCAAAATTAGTGTATATTGGCGCCGATTGCGCCTTTAGAAAAATTTTAGGGTCCGTCAACAAAAATGGATATCTTAACATAGTACAAAGGGGGGACCCTTTGGGTCGGCAGGGGGTCCAAAACTCCCCCCCCCCCCCTAATTCCGCCCCTGTAGTAATAGGCCTTAGGGGATAATGCGTAATACCTACACTAAAAAGTAAAAGCAATCAAATGTTAGATCCTATAGTTCTTACATTACCTGACTTCACTCTGTAGCCGCATGACTTATTTTGTATGATTATTTCTTCCAAGATCGAACCCTCTGTCGACCCTGAGGAGACGACGCTGTTCAGTTGCGAGTAGAGGAACTTGCGCAGACATCTCTTCGAAAGGATCTCCGCGTGACAATCGTGTAATACTGTACCCGACATGCTCAAGTTCTCCCCCTTGATCGTTTTTGTACCTGAAGTCAAAAACTGAAGTTTATTTTGCCCCAAAAACTTATGAACTTAATAACACCGTTTTTCAGACTGTCGCAAAGAGCTGGGTAATCAAAGACCACTTGATGCACTTCAGCGAAAAAAGAATCTATTTTACTAACACGTAGATGCAGGGGCGGATTTAGGGGGCGGACACCTCTTCTCAGGAATTCGACCCCCTACTGACCCAGAAGGTCCCCCTTAGTACTTTTTTGAGATATCCAATTTTGGTGAGAGACACAGCCAATATTAAATTTGAGGGGGAGCGCGCCCCAAAAATACGCGATTTTTTTTGGTCAACATTTTCCAAAAAGTCCCTAAAAACGCTTCTATTGGCCTGTTTTTTTTCAAAATTTTGCCTGCGGCGCAGACAATTTCGCCAAAACAGGGTCTTTTTAGTGCTTTAGATGTCGATCAAAAATGAATTTAGTCGACCAAAAAAAATTCTGCTCTGACTATTTTGGGAGAAACTCCGTTATTAGAAAAAAAACCTTCCATTTTCGGAGCCCTATCCCAACTGAAAATTGATCGGTTCGTTCAGTTAACCAGCACTGCTAAAAAAATATGGGCTATCATTTGACAGGAAAAAAATGCAATTTTGTTCCCTTGCCTTTTAGTCTTTATGTGACTTACCTGTAGTGACAGATATGAGCTGGTAGTCGTCCCATTGTTCGTTCGTCGTCATCACAATCCCAGCTATCACTTTGTACTTGTTATAATTACTCCCACTGCGCACAGTCAACTCCATGAACTTATCCTTCACCAACTTCTGCATCTGGTTCGCAAACTCAAACTAAACAACATCAAAAAGCCTGTAACTTTCCAAGCCATTTCCTTAAATTTTCAGAGTATTATCCAAAAGTGAGTGGTGGAGACACCGAAAACAGGTTAGTCGACTATTTCATATTTCTGTTCTGTAAAAAGATGAGCTGAGCATATACTAAAACTTCATCTTTAACAGGTTGTAAGAAAGTGAACGCACTTCCACAGCCCGTTAGCATCAATTGCAAGCGTTTGGTCCCTCTTACATTCGGACCAGTTGACAAGTATGCATCTGAATCACTTCTTACGTGTGTGATTGCATTCGTATCCCCATTAGGCGCCTCATCCCCCACGACACTGGTGTTGGACACATTGGCCGGGTTCATGACTCCAAAGTGCTTCTGCAGAATGGCACAGGCCGCCTTGAACTTAGCATCCTTCTTGCTGCGTCCAGTGGCGAAGTGCTCCTCCCCATTGAACAGGGCCTAGTCAATCGGGCCGACACTTTAAACCAGCCAAACTCACTTTTTCATCCACCCACGTAAAACATTCCCACTTTACAAAACCAGCCAATAAATTAGAAGCTATCTGGTAAATCATTCCCCGGATAAATAGCTTCAAAATCTACCAAAATCATTGCGTCGGCTTGTTTTTTTAAATTAACTCCATTTCCTTGCGCCATGAGGTGGAGTAATTTAATGTGAAAAAGTGATATTTGACAGGCTCATAGTCTAGACCAGAGCTGACTAGGAAAAGAACTATAATCAATTGTAGATAGGCTATATATTAAATACTACGAATATAAATCACACTTTTTTTTTAGCTCAGCCATCATGCAAATTCCTAACAAATTTTAGATTAAAATTAAAAAGTTGATAATTATGATTTAATTGCTAAATGAAAATTGGATATTTTTATGACTGTTAAGTTTACTAAATTGGATACAAACTAACAAAATTTGGCAAAATCTTCATCAACGACCTCGCCAGACAATCTCAAAAAAATATCACCTATTTCAATCATATCCATTTTTGCATTTCAATGGAAAAAATATCAGTTAATTATACTTAATTATAAAATGTTATATTCAATGCAACTTTTCTACGCCATTTTGAACTTTCGGTGATTTTTAAGCTTCTAAATACATGCACCTGGCGTCTCGTTTGTAATTTTATTTAAGACACGCCAGCTCTTTTCATAGCTTTTATACCTCTGAAGTAATTAAAGCTAGCGAACTTCACTCAACTACGTACAAAAACAAAGCAAAATTGAGTCACACCTGATTGAAAAGAATAAGAAAGCTTGCACAAACTACCATGTGCAAACAAAGTTCATTTGCTGTACGCCCCCAGCCTCCGAACCTTCAGCCAATCTTGAGCTCAAATCTCACAAAAATCAGAATCCAAAAAATCTCTACTCAAAACTAGTAACTCAGTTTTTTTAATAAAAACAACCTCAAATCAAACAATCATGGACGATTCATGGCATCATGGTGAGCAGTTTGCTTGGCCCAAACAATTCCCACTTTCTATCAAAGGCGAGCGTCAGTCACCGATCGACATCAGAGAGAAGGACGCGGAGAAAACCCTGTTGCCGCACTTCAACCTCCGATGCATCGAGGGAGATCCAACGGCAGACTGGACCATGACTAACAACGGACACACTCTGAGTCTCTCTCCTGCCGCCGGATGCAAGTGGCAACTGGCTGGAAGTCTCCTCAAGGGAAAGTACATCCTGGATCACTTCCACAGCCACTGGGGTGAGAGCGGGGAGTACGGATGCGAGCACATGATTGACGGTGAAAAATACGCTGGCGAGACTCACTTCGTCTTCAAGTGGGCTCCTGGTCAGGACAAAACTGTCGAAGACCAAGCAGCCGTGTGGGGAATCATGATGGAGGAGACCAACAAAAGCGAACCGGTAGCTCAGAAAACCTTCGACGACCTGATAGGAAAGCACATTCACAAAGTCATTAAGCCTGGGTCCACAAAAATACCAGCGGTCAACTTTGCATCTCTGGTTCCGCACGGTTCTTCGGAGTACTTCGCCTACCAGGGATCCCTCACTACTCCTCCCTTTGCTGAAGTGGTCCTCCACATTGTCTTCAGAGACCCCATAGAGGTTTCCAAGAAGTACATGGACCAACTGAGAAGCCTAGGAGACTTGAGGGGCGGGAAAACAGAGGCCAACTACCGGGCAATTCAACCACTCAAGGGCAGAAAGATTTTCTGGTCTTGCTAAAATAACTACAACTGATATGAGCTGCGATACAGCGTAGCTGGAAAACTGTTTGGTTAAACTGATTTCATTGAGATTAATATTCTTTCCCAATATATATTGTTATATTCGCTAAATTATACGCTGCTATAAAAATTTGTTAAGCTTTATTTGTATGTTTCTCACAGATTTTAATTTCGTAAACACTCTTTTTATCACAAAAAAAAACTCGATAAGATAATTTAATGCCTGACGGCTATCTATAGAACACTGAAAGCCTGATGGCTACCTAACGGATACCTTAAGCACAAACTCTTTCTGCTGCTTCTCTCCCCTTTCTTCTATGAAGTAGAACTGAACAGCTGGTCCAGCAATTTCATTGAGAACCATCACTGGATTCGAGTTAGGTTCTTTCAGTCTTGCCTCAAGAGCCTCCGCTTTTGGAGCTTTAGGAGGCAGCTGGCTTAGTTTATATTGGGGTGCTGCAGTCTTCAGAAGAGTCTGGTTCCCACAAGTGTTCAGATCACCAGCCCAATAAGCCTCCTGAAGTCCAAATTTACACATTACAATAATATAAGTACAGGTCTCGAACAAGAACAGAAAATACTCAGAACAGTTGATATGATTTTTGCAACTCAAAACTGAATACTTACAATATCAGCCTCACTTGCCGGTTCAGGTTGCGGCTAAAAATGTAAGCCATACAACAAATCTCATGTCTACAACTTAACGAATAAATAAAATTTTGCATCACTGATAGCAGAAATGACATTAAGTTCAAAAACAAAAACCATGAAGTAACATAAATACTCAATAGCTGTGCATCTAGCACAAAATTTTCCATCAAGAAGATTTTAACTCAAAAATTTTACAAAGAGGCAAAGCTTCGCTTCGCAAACACGAGCATGAACACGACAAAAAGCAGCTTTATGAAAAGCAATAAGAAAAAGTAGAAATAAGCCTCGAATTAGTAAGAAAAATCGACTACTTCTCAGATTCGATCTACACGGAATCTTGCTGAATCTCACGCACTAACACGGACGCTTATTACTTAACAAACACTAGCCACAAATAAAGCAGGGAACAGATGCTATGAAATTTCCAATGCTACACATCGTGATTATAACTAAAATGCCACCAAATAAGTGAACACATTTATTTGCACGTTAGGTTAGAAAAAAACAGAAGGTTCGTACCAATACACTACGTTGCTCCCGAGTGTTAACAACATTCCTTTTATCTACTGGTCAAAAACAACCTAAAACTTTTCGAAACATTGAGTAATTCGTCATACATTTGGAACATGAATAAGCAAATAAACTTTTTAACAAATCATAGTCAAACCACCGAAATAAAAAACTGAGAGTAAACCAACTTTCAGACAGCTTCATTAAAAAATCTAGGCAACAGACAGTTGAAAAAAAGCCAATTGTCACTGAAAACGACAATTCTTTTTTGAGAATATACAGAAGAAAAAATATATCATGTTTTAGGTATTTGAATTTCGAGAACATGTCATGATTGTCACTTTTTTATCAAATTAACCCAGTTTAATGAAACCCCGTTTGTCAACTGTTAAGCATCAAAAGAACTTAAAAAATTAAAGATAGCCAATAGACAGTTGGAAAAGAGTAAAAAAGCAAGGAAACAAAATAACTTGATTGAAAATCGAAACTTGAAATTGTTTTTAAAATTTTTAAACAAGTTTTTTTATTTCCTTATTCTCTTACACTTTTCCAACCACCTGTTGGCTATCTTTAAGTTTCTAAATTCTTATGAGGCGTAGCAAACCACAAACGTGCAAATGGTGCAAAAAAGAATTTTCGGTATAAAAAATGACTTATATTTTCAGAACACCCAGCAGAATAAAAAAAAAAGTACCTTGTTCCAGTTTTCACTTCTACAGGTCTTTGATTTTTTGCTTGTTTTTTTTTAAGAAAAAATATTCACGATAATTTTTTTTGAATTTTGAAGTTGATCAACTTCTAGTTTCAAAAGGACTCAAATTTCGATGAACGTAGTGAAATGCAAAAAAATGTCAACCCTAAACTGTTTTTGAAAATCAAAGGGCTTGAAGGCTGTTTCTTTCCTTGCGTTATTTGAATCTTTTCGAACTGTGTCTTGGCTGTCTCAAGATTTCCCAGCGGAACAAAAAAAAACCAAATGATCTATTTTTGGCTCAATAGGATAGCCCTAAGAAAAAAGAAACAATCAGAAATTCTTGAAATTCAAAAATCGTAACGTGATATAATTTTTCTTTGAAATTCGAATTTAAAGAATTGCTGATGGCTTATTTTTTTTTCTTGAGGCCATCCTATTTAGCTAAAAACATATATACTTAGGTTTCTTTATTCCACTGGGAAATCCAATCAAAGCCAACAGACAGTTAGAAAAGAGTCAACTAACTCAAGGAAACAGAAACAAACTACAACTTCGAATTTTAAACTGAAATTATATAAAGCCTTCTAGCTCTTTGTTTTTCCAGAACAATTTATGTTAGCTTGTTTTCTTTATTTCGCCGACTCTTAAAAACCAACTTCAAAAAGATCAATTTTGATCGAGAACATATATTTTACTGAAAAAAAAAACAAGCTTAAAATCATCAACGACTTATATGATAGAAAATCACATTTTGATTTTACACTTAAGCGGGGAGGGGAAGCTACACTCGGAAAATTAGGCAAGAAAAACATGACAAGTAGATCTAGAAAAAGAACACTGAAAAGATCACTGAGCTTCGCGTCACTTCCGAAACATTTTATGCCATAAGGCTGCAATATTTTTCATACTCTTCAGAAACTTACTTTTTTTCAAAATCATCAAAATTTTGTTTTAAATAAAACCATTTTTCTGACCCTGCTGCTGCTAAACTATAATATTACGTCAAAAAATTCCTTAAAATTGCAGTGTTGATTTATTCTGCTAATTGTGTTGAAGCAATTTGTAATCATTTACGAACCCCACTAACAGCACTCTAACGCATTTATGATTCATATAAACACATTTACCCATTGTAAGAAAGCAAAAAAGTCAAATAAAAACCGAAATTTTAACACAGGCAAAGCGGAGCTTCCAATCACCTCCGATACAACACAATTTTTAAAAAACATTTTAGAAAAAAAGACTAGGACTACCAAAACTTTCGTATGTCTCGATAAAAATCATTCTAAGCAAAAACCGCCCAGCAAAACATTTGAAGATAGAACACAGAGACGACGCACCACTTGCGATACAACTTTGATTAAAATCAAACGGAAAAATTTAAAAATTCAAAAAATCGTTTTTGTCAATAAAAAATTTTCAAAGAAAAAGCGGTCTCAAATAGCTGTGTCACATCTACCAGATGCGTCGAATGGTTGATTAAATTTGATTTTATAATTACCATTTGGAAACAAAGCCGAAAATACCTGAGCAGAAACCTTTCGTGCCGAATAAAATTCAAACTCAAAATTCAAATTCAAGTTATAAAAAAAATTGTCCCTTTCCCCTGAGAGCACACGCACGAACACAAACTTTTTTCGATACCCGGACGACGCAATAAGAGGCCACTAGGTCGATATAAATTAAGCCGAAACTTATTATCCCGATAAAAAAAGACAAAAATGAAAAAAAATTGGCAAATCGATAAAATTACAAGCGGTATTTAAACCAAATTTCGATTCCGCCAGATTTTTAAAATGCTAAAACACTTAAATTAGAGTGATAATTGTTTACAGCAAAATTGAAACGATTCTTAGATCTGGCAACTAAGCTAACGAAAATAAGCAGACAAAAAATGGACCGATATTTTTTTGAACCGGTATATTTACCGTTAAAAACAGGTCCTAGTCAGATACGAACCCAAGACCATTTGGCGTCCCAGGCGTATTCGTTACCTCCACGCTAAGTGTACAGGAGACACTAAGAAATTTGAATTCATTACGAAGTAAGGTACCACGAGTACAGATGAGCACTGTAGACAAAATTAGAAAAAATAGTCTAGTACCCGATTGCAATACGCTTGCTTATCGCAAGGGTAATAAGCAAAGCCGAAAACCTTTGAGCCTACATCAGTTGATAAAAAACTAATTTTGTATAAAAAAATTCATCCCCCTGAAACTACAATGAACAACAGTTTCAACAAATATGAAAATGGCTTACAGCAAAAAAAACCATGTTGTGGCAACTAAGCCGACATTAACTTGATCAAGCAAGCGAAAGTCCACCAATTGATTTTTTACGGGAAAAAATTTAATGCATGCATACTTAAAAAACAAGGTCCGGCCGGGACTCAAAACCACAAACTTAGGCTGAAAAAGCCACCACATTACCTATATGTCAAGTGGGATCAAGTAGCAGTTGTTAAATTTCAAAAAAACGCAAGTAAGAAAATCGAGTAAGATTCATAAGAAAAGTTGGTTAAGTGAAAAAAGACTAGTTCCCGATTACAAGACACTTGCTCTCGCAAAAGTAAAAAGAGCAATCAGTTAATTTCATGATTTCACAAGATTTGACAAAGCTCTATCAGTTACTTTCGTGTGATTGAAAAAAATGCAAAGAAAAACGCACAAAAAAATTTCCTAGAAATTTCGAGAAACTTTTCACAAAAAAAATCAGCAAAACTTTTTGGAACTCAATTACCAGCACCCTTTTTACAAGAATGCATCCAACGGACATTGCATTACAGTGAACATTGAAAAATTTCTCAAATCACATGTCGTTTCTCAAATCACGAGAAAATTACATGCTCTGGCGACTACGCAGACAAGAAAAAACAAGAAAACAAACATGCCGAAACTTAGTTTTCAAGACGAAACTTTTCTGTTTACATAAAAATTGAGTCCATGCCGGATTCGAGAACTTGATATTCGCAGTTCCAGGTATGGACGTTACTTCCAGTTCATAGTACGCTGAATTTGAATGTATTATAAATCAAGCCTTATCAACTCGGAAATTTATTTTCTTTTAGTTTAATGTGTGTTAAGGTTTATAAATCGCAAGCGTAACTAGATAACAATCTTCAGTACCAACCTCTGTCACATCTGTTGCGAAATTATACGATGCCGCTTTATTTGAAGCCTGTTCCTCCAACTGTTGTACAATCTTCGGATACTTCTTCAACATTCTCATAGCCAATGCTGAAGCATGTTCTTGGGCATCTTCCACAGTTGGGCCCTCACCTTTGAACAAGCCACTCTCTGGCAAGCCTTGGATAAAGAGGTTAATGGACACTATTTGTCCATGACGTGTCCTGGTTGTCTTTGGGTCAGAAAACACCAACTTGCTACCTGAATAAGAAACGAATTATGACACAAAAAATAAAGTATCGCATGTTTTTAATGACACTTCTAAGTTTAAAAAACTATACTCGCCAAACAGCCGAAAGAGATATGCAGTCTTCTCTTCGCCTTCGTTGAGCCCTAAATGAGTGGTTTCTGGCGAATAGTTGGCCAAATGATTGAGATCTCTGGCGGTGTTTACAACTGGCGACGTAGTATTTTGCCCTGAATTCTGATTGCGGTACAGATTCATCAACTAAAACAACAACCATTCATCATATTGCTCTCTCTGGACACCAAAAACTATATAAGCAGACGGAGAAGCAAAACGGAATTGAGTGAATACTCCTCTGAGTGTGTATGAAAAACTAATACTGGCGAGGCGATACAATATATGGTACTTACACTTTCAGCCAGCTGACTGCTGTGCTCGGATCTGATGTAGTCATATGCACACACCTGTTTGGCGTCTTTCTTGTTACTTCCACTCCCTTCGTATTTACACCCATTCACAACAACCCAAGCCTGAAATTAAACTTTGGCCACTCGAAAATAGTCAAACGTCAACTTTCGAATTTACAAGAATTAAGTTATATGGCCTCGAATCTCTTTGAATTTCAAAAAAAAATATGATGGACATTTTATGTTATAACAACCCAATTTGAGAAAACTTGATTAGTAGATAAAATTTTTATTCCGCTGGGAAATCTGAAATTTTAAACTCATTTTCGAAATAAGAAGTCGCTCACGTTTTTCGTGATCCTTACACTTTTCCTGTTCGATATTGGAGTTTGCTGTCCTTTTCACAAAGAAAATGAATAGAATTTCTGTAAAGAAATCGAAATTCTAACCGCGAAAAATCAAATTTCTGCGCAAACAAAGTTCAAGACTTTTTCTTCGAATAAAAACGCTGAGCAAAAAAAACAAAAAAATCACCAATACTAAGATTATTCATGTTTTTAGGTCGACCAAATTTTCTGAGGTCTCCCAAATGATTATAAAGACCGTAATATAACCAAATTTTCTGCTCCGCAAGCAAATTTTTGAAAAAAGGCGTTTTTAGGCACTTTTTGGAAAATTTCGACCGTAAAATCGCGTTTTTCGGCGCGCTCGCTGCCCCTTCAAAATATGTATAGATTGACGCCAAAAGCGCCTTTGGAAAAATTTTATGGTGACGCCAAAAATGGATATCTCAAAATAGTACAAAGGGGGGACCCTTTGTGTCGGCAGGGGGTCGAATCCCTGAGGAGGGGGTGGGGGCGTCCGCCCCCTCCTAAATCCGCTACTGACACAGGCTAAGCAGAGCCTCAAAACTATATGCGATACATCACAAGTATAGCATGGCAAGCTTGCCGAGAGAAAATAATCGAAAAATTATCGTAAGCTATATATCAAAACTTCATACGTCTGTCTCGAATAACATTCATCTTGAGGAAAACATGCAGAGACAATTGCTAGCAAAAAAACTCATCAATCGGCAATTTATCAGAAAGTCTGGACAGGCATATAAATTTGAGCCAGCCGAAGTTTTCAAGATTCGCGTACCCCCAAGCACAAGCACGACACAATTTGAGGCGAATAAATCGCTATAAAATGAGCTAAAAGCTTTGAAGCCTAAAAAGCAAAACAAAGTGAAATTACAAGCATAAATTACAAAAAAAAACACATTTCGGTTTAAAACAAAAAAGCACAAATTAGATCTGTGATGTCATATTTTTTAAAAGTTTCAAATAGGAAAGTTTCTATATTCCGATTACAAACCAATTGGTCTTACAAGTATAAAAATTAAAATAATCAAAAAATTTTCGATCAAGACTTCGCCTAGTTTTCAAAGTTTGACAATATCGGTCAACAAGTGTTTCAAATTATATTAATATAGAGTAAAAACAGGTCAAAAAGACAAATGTCTGCAGTAACATAGCATTGCGACAAATTTGTGAATCGGAAAATCAAACCGAAAATTTGTGTTTACCCGACCCGTGTTTCTGAGTGGATTGAGAAATAATCATTTTTTTCACTGCAAATTGCTGGTGTTCCGAAAAAAGCATATCACGATTGACGAGATAATTCTTTAAATAATTTACAAAAGCAGTACGAAAAGCACAAAAGCAGTCAATGAAATTGATGTATGCATATCTCTTTAAAAACATTGAAGTTGATCACAATTCTATCAGATAATGTATCCGAATTGATCGAAAAAGAAACTCTGCCATTAAATGAAATCGACCTCCAATCTCAGAAACGGAGTACTATGCAGAACTAGCTGAGGATGGATGAAAATTTTACAAATTTTACGTAAAAAGTTGAAAAACAACACTGAATCTAGTTTTATGGAAGTTTACGGGTTTCTGAAGGTGTGAAAAAGAATGTTCATTTAGAGCCAACTGTTTTAAAATCTATCTTTACAAAACTACGAAAGTTGTTGATTTACTAAACCTCTTAAAATTCGAACCCATTGCAAGCATGCTATGAAACTATCAACTAGGAGTCCGCTTTTTTATGTAGAAAACAAACCCTCCAAATTTTTCGAGAAATCGAGGTTTTCAGACAATTTTATGAATTTACTTACGAATTTAGTACTTTCAAATAAATTTGTAATTTTCCCCCTATTTTTTTTCTCTTCTATGTCTAGGCTCACTAATGCCACATTGCGTCTCATAATTATGCGCGCTTCAAATGAAAGAAAAATTAAACAAAAGTGGAATTTATGTTTATCTCTAAGACAAATGAGAATAAATTCTGATCTATCTGACTCTATTGAGGGAAGCATTTCAAGGGAGGGAAACATAATAGGGAAGAATTTCAACGGAAGGAGCTTGATAAAATAATTTACGTAGAAAGTTTCAATACTCAAGACTCAAACCATTGTTCTCAGTCTCTTAGATCCTTACGCCAAGCCTCTTCATATCCCTCTGTCAAGAAATTTGGTGAAAAAACTGGTACAACGCACGAGTCCATGGCACAATTGTTTAACGAGTTTTTCGGATCAGTCTTTGGTCCGAAAGTTATCACTGATTTTATGTTTCCTTCCCTTTAAATCTTCCACCTGCAAGATGCTTTGATTACAAACGCTGATGTTAAAAGACGTCTAGAAGCTTGTGATGATAGCTGCTCAATGGGATCTGATGCGTTACCATCTTTTGTCATGAAACATTGCTCCAATATTTTGTCCCCAGCTATATGCATTTTGTTTAATTCAATCGTTTCTAGCTGTTTCTGGCCATCTGAATGGAAACTATCACATGTTACACCCTTTTACAAGTCAGGATCATCAAGTGATATCACAAACTATCGACCAATCAGTATCTTACCAAAATTTTTGCTTATTTTTGAGCGCATTTTGTTTGATTACATTTATCGTAAAGCTATGAAGATCATTAAACCACAGCAACATGGACTCATGAAATGTACTGTATCGCAGATAATAAATTATTTGGATCTTAATAATGCCAACCTTGATAACAACCTTCCATGTTTATCTATCTATTTCGACCCACAAAAGGCATTTGATTCAGTGCCCCATCATTTACTCTGTACCCTTGGCTCAGATTTCATTAATCTGTTTATATCTTATTTTAATGACAGACATCAATGCGTTAAGTTAAAAAAAATCCCTATCCAACGTTATAGATGTTACTTCTGGTGTCCCTCAGCGTAGCGTTTTGGGTCCTCTTTTCTTTTTGTTATTTATTGATGATCTTCCTGATGAAGTTGTTCATAGTGTTTATTTTTTCTTTTGCGATGACTTAAAACTACAATCAAGTTCATCGCCTGAAAACATTCAACGTGATATTGACACACTTTCTGAATGGGCAAAAATAAATGGACTTTCGTTTCATTCTCAAAAACCAAGCTTTTGAGTTTTGGCTATCCACAATACAATTTTACAATGGTAAGCGTTTCATTAGAATTTGTCGAGGATATTAAAGATTTGGGCCTGATTATCAACAACAAACTCATTTGCAATTCGCATATTGACCTCAAACTTGCCAAAAGCAACAAAACCTTCAACGTTCTACGGAGAAATGTGCCTTTTCAAGTTAAACAGCTACGTAAACTTTTACTCGATCGATCATTAATTCTATCCGTGTTACTTTTTACCTCCATTGCATGGTCACATTCAGTAAACAGCCTTCGCCTTGAAAGTTTTCAAAAACGCGTTCTTAAGTGGGTGTCAAATTCGAATGACTATGACAAATGCCTACAGATTGCTAGGAACTTATTCGTTCTGATGTCAATTTGTTATGGAAAATTTGGCACAAAAAAAATCGACATCACGGTTGAACTGGAATTGATTAAGTCCACAAGCTCTACTCGTTCTGCTAGTACAAATCAGTTTGCATTTAAACCTACAAGACGATTCGAATCTGACAACAAATTCTTCATCAAAGCTGTCCCTACAGCAAAGGAACTTATAAAACTGAATATCTTAAGCTTTGAATCTACCCTACCCATTTTCTCAAGAGACCTTAAAAACCATCTGGTTCAAAAACGAGCTTCTTTTAACCTATACAATTCGTGTACTTTCGTAATTAAATGTTTTTGTTGAAATTGCCAAGCATAATTTGCTAGTATTTTGTTCTGTATTGTTTAATTCTTTGATCTATACATTCCACCTAGTATCTATTGTACTTCCTTAAGGTGAATTCAAGTCTTTTACAACTACTACTAGTACTAAATGCCTTTCTCACAAAATCGAAGTCAATATTAACAGAAAATGTTTTCAATCAGTGGAAAATAATCAAAATTATTACAAATTGCGGGTTACAACCGGAATACTATTCAGATAAACATCAAGATTGATGAGTTCAAGTTCATAAGAATTTTTCAGTCTTGAAAAGTCATCTGCTTTTTATCTAATCGGTCAGTATTAACACTACTTGCCTGGATTATTTTCTTACTTTGAGATTTTCACGATTTACTTTGAGGTTTTGAATACTCAATTCTGATTGGCTGAAAGTAAGCTAAAATAAATTTCAAGCATTCGGTCCCTCAAGCATAAGGGACGCCACCAACCAGCAGGCTACTTAGCCTTCTCATTCCCGATGCTCAATGTTTGATGTCTAATGCGGTGTATTTTCGTGCTTTTCGTAAATATAGGTTGCGAGATACGGTGGCCAGTCAGTAAGCAGAATGGTCTAAGAGCAGATTGGGTCCAAGAGCAGAAAAACAGAAAAATATCAGCTTTTATTAGCTTATCTGTAAATTAATTATGAGAAATAAAAAATAATACCAAAGCAATCAACATTTTATGCATAATTGAGTAAATTAATCAAGAATTAAACAAAAAGTAATCAAAAAAACTTAATAAAATTAGTCAATTCATGCATAATTTATTCGTTTTCTTGGTAGTTTTCGACGATTCTAATAATTTTTTCATCAATTAGCCATATAAACCAATATATGTCAATATTTTTCTGTTTTTCTGCTCTTGGACCCATTCTGCACTTGGACCATTCTGCTTATTGCTCCGCCTCCGCGAGATACATATTTGAATTAATTATGCTTTAGGGCAGACTGGAGAGGACAAGAATCATTTAGTCTTGCCTTTACCTACTCATTTTTGAGTAAAAATCTGATTTCAACGGTAGAAAAACATGAAAGCGAACCTGCACTTCGCAAACAAGCAAAAATGGCAAATAGGAGCTTTCAAATAGCAGGAAAATGCAACGTTTCGAAAGATGAGTAATGGAAAAATAAAATAACCTTATGTAAATCGAAACTACGCCATTGAGAACCTGCACATATGCAGTCTACTACCTTGAGCTGTATGCACATACTGTCATTCAAATACTAGCCATTAATATATTGACCTTTTTTACCAATACCAGCTACACAGACACTAAATTTGGCACTTTTGATAAAATCTGACTAATTCATGCGACTTAGGAGAGAAAAAATCGAATTCGTAGTTCAATACGAAAGTTTTCTCGAGAAAATAGTTCGAACCTACTTTAGTGTTGATGCGGGAAAAAATTAACAAGAAGTCAGCAAAAATTTTGCAGACGCAGGTGGAACCGAAAAATGAAAGACTGTCTAAAAATGGAACAAAAAAAAAAACAATTTTCTTTCATTGCAGCATAGAAACAAATTTCGTCTCTGAGGCAGAGCTGCAATTCGTTACCACAAGTGAGAAAACGTCGAACAGTAGCTCTAAAGAGACAAAAAATCACATAATGAAAGAAAAGGCAAAATAAGACTTGAAAAACAAACTTTCGATAAGAGTCGGAATCGAACCTCTGAACCACAAGAATAATAGCTTCACGTTCTGGCCTCTGTGCCATGGTCGGTTGAAAATATGCAAACAATAAAGCCGATAGAACAGATGCTATAACTTGTCAATGCACGGCTTCGAACGTGCCACAAAATGAGCACTTATATTTGCGAGAAAGTTGAGGAAAATGGATTCGTAAAATAACACTACGTTCGCTTGTGCAACTACACCGGATTTTTAAAATGGACGTTTTAAACAAATAGGCTGAGAATATATCTGCTGGTTCACGCAAACAGAGCTGACGAGAGATTCAACAGAAGGACTCAGTGTTCTTCTGTTAGATAAGTTGTTAACCGGCAAAAAAGTCTATAATCCGATTTGATAATGCTTGCTACTTTGTTTTTCAAAGCGTTATTTGGTTTGGATCTTCATTATTTGACAAATACTTGGGTCTCCCTGGTTCCGATTAACGAGCTGCAAAAACTTCTGCATGCTACGTAGCTAGTTTTCCATTTTGAATGTTAAAATGACCACAATGCTACCTTAAAAGTGGGTGACGTAGCTCCTGGTGCTTTGAAATCTTCGAAATTGAACGTGGGTAGGCTGCCGGCAAATATGTGATTGAAGAACTCCATCGGATTTTTATAAACAGCCAGAGATTTAATTTGAGGCCGGGATCGGTTTATACCACAAGATCGGGGTCTCTTCGCAGCTACAGGAGATGAGCTTAACGCTGCAGACCTCAACAACTCAAGATTTGTTTCTGAAAATCGATCCAGATTTCATCAAAAATTTAACGAAATAGCAACAACTTTCAAAAATATCTCGGAATTAGTAATCAAAAGGTTAAATTTATATCCCACCAAGAACACTAGGAGGCGGAGGAGGTCTTTTCAGACCTTGACTCTGTCCTAGTCTATCGACACTTGCCAAAGTTCTCTGTTGGCTGGAGTATTCGGGTTTTTCTGAAATTAAACAACAGAATCATTCTCAAAAACGTTATCGAAATTCAAACAAAATAAGATATCTAATAAACACAACTACAGCCAACGAAAACAGCATAATTGAAAATTACACAAAAAAAGTTTGCTCAAATCAACTCTTCAAATCAGCAAAAAAAAATAAATTCAGCTCCGATTAACCTCGCAATCTTGGTGAAAATAAGGTTAAAGTATAATATTATGATGGGTTGAAACATTGGTATAACAAACCTGCGATCTCCAATTTTTTCGTAGATTCGTCATGACCAAGGCCAGCCATACTATCTATCTGAAAGTTAAACAAATTGTTCCCAAAATAGTTTCAACATTTTATTAGGCACTCTTTCTTTTTTTATTCAGGTTTCAATTATATCAGAAAAACATATTTGATATTAAAGATGACGGGCGGCCAAGCCAAACAGAGTCCGTCAATGTTGTCGATAGATTTGCTACTTTTCTGCCAGAATTTCTAAATTAGAATCTGAAAAATTAAGACTTCCTGTACCGGGCATTCTTCAGTGCAAATCCAGAGACATAACTAGATAGGCAGCAAGTCATTTTGATGTTCTCTTGTGCGAATAAGTAAAATACAAAAAGAAAGTAATATTTGTACTTAACACAAAGACAAATTTAATATTTATTTAAAAATCATCACTCAAAAAACACGGTTTTTTCAAAAAAACCATTTATTCAATTAAAGATTGCTGCGCTACATAGAGAACCACTTGAAACAAGACTTGATCTCTAATGAGCATCTTACCGTCTGTCAATTTAACTTATTTGGAGAATATTTGGATCAACTTATCTCTCTTCCCTTCCTATGGTATCTACTTAACAATCTCCCACCCCTATGAATAAATACAGTAAATTAGCACAGAACTTTCAATTGCGAATACTAATTTTGCTGCATTGTCAGGGGCTACAACATATTCAGTTGTCAATCATCTTAGTTGCTATTCTTTATTTACTTATCTCTGAGAGTTCTCATATTATAATTAAGTGTGAGTTTGGTACCTGCCTGCCAATCAGCCTAGAACTGTCTAGCTGTTATGTGTTGACCTCTAGTTCACTCTCTTAATTGTGCGAACTAGAAATCAGTCAATTCAGTCTTTAACAAACAACGTTTTTATCATCCCTTGTTATGGCGCAGTCAGCGGATGGAGGGGGGAAAAACCCCCTTGGAATTGTGGCATTCTGGCCTCCGAATCAGGCGGAACCACAACTCTTATGGGAACACTGGAAACAAAGATTTCATTGGGCAATGGTGGCGAAACATGGACTAGTCTCGTCGGAATTTTACTTTGCATCGACATTAACTGAAGCACAGATTAATGACCTGGGTGACATTGGTGGCAAACCAAGGGAAGAAGGTGAACGTACACTGATATCGAATCTGTACCTATGCCTGGGACACGAGGGACAGCGAGCCTTGCATAATCAGCATCCACACTTGAATATGGAAACAATACGATACCCACGGTTTTTGGATACCTGTGTAGCTCTTTTCCAGAAAGAGCTAAACGAAACGTACAAGATGTACCAGATGTTGTCCAGGAAACAAAAGGAGGGTGAAAGCTTAGAATCGTTCTATGCAGAACTTAGCGGAATGGCGGCAAGATGCAATTTGGGTACCCAAGAGCGGAAAATGGTGAGAGACATATTTATATTCAATATGAGGAACAGTGACGCGCAGAACGAGCTGTGTCGGGAAACTAAGACCCCGGAGGAAGCATTGAGAATGTCGGAAAACTAAGACCCCGGAGGAAGCATTGAGAATCGCGATGTCGTATGAAAGAGGAGACAAGTACGCATAGACTTACAAGGGCGTCGCATCCGGCTCCACGGGAACGGCCTATCCATCGCCAGGGGGTTCCCTGCAGATCAAAACGGAACCAATCAGCAATATTCGTGGATCCAGGGGACGAGGAATGCCAAGGGGACGGGGCCAATACCCAAATCGTGGAGGAGGTCGAACACAAGAACGAATGCAAGAACGGAGATGTTACAATTGCGATCAACCGAACTTCACCCCAGAACACCGACAACGATGCCCAGCACGAGCCGTCACTTGCAATTTTTGCAAAAAAGGTCGGGCATTTTGAGAGGACTTGCCGGGGAAAACGACAGTCGAGGGGGGGACAACCGGTTGGACTAATCCAAGGGGATGAGCTATTCGAGGAAGAAGATACTCCCTCGGATGACGTGGGGTCCCAAGCTGCGGCAAATTCAGTAGGTTTCGTTAAACGAGAACAACACAGCTGGTCATCAGAAAGTTCAGACGACTACATGGTTATGGCTATTAGACGGAAGAAAGAAACATTGAAAGTTGCCGGATCTAAACTCACAATAAATATTAATGGACACCCGATGAACATCTGGATCGACAGTGGATCGCCGATATCCATTTTAACACTGGACGACTTGAGGAAAACAGTGGGAAGAGCGGGAATTAATTTAAAACAAGATGACGTTGAAGATGACGAATTCCGGGACTACAGCAACAATCGGATCAAGATGTTGGGCAGAATGGAGCTTGAGTTAGCATCAAACGGCCGTAAGACGAAGGCAGAAGTCCGAGTCATTGGGGGGACCAGACCATCTATCGTGGGACGTGACTTGATGGGGAAACTCGGACTCCAGTTGATGCAAGCAGATCCAAGGGGGGAAGTAATGAACATCCAGGGGACGGAAGACAGTTCATGTGAGAAGGGGCACGTCGGAGAATCGGAGGATGAGCAGATGGACCAATGGCAAATATACTTCAGTAAGCTATTCCCAAAACTTTTTACTAGAGTCGGAAAAATTAGGAACTACAAGGTTCAAGCGGAATTGTTCAAAAATCTTGTACCAGTGCAGCAGAAGGGACGGAGAGTGCCGGTAACGCTCCAAGAAAAGGTGGACAAGGAAATTGATAAGCTATTAACCCAGGGACATATAGAAAAGTTGAAAGAGTGTTCGGATCGATATTTTGTTTCTCCGATCGTCATCACCGTGAAAAAAGACGGGTCCGTGAAAATAGCATTGGAATCTCGAGAGCTTAATAAACAAGTTCATAAAAACAAATACCAAATGCCAAACATAGAAGAACTTGTAGATACAATAGGACAACTTATTTCCGAGAAAAAACAAGGGGAGGTGTATTTTACTACGATGGATTTAACGTACGCGTATGGGCAACTACCACTTGGTGAAGAAACAAGCGTACACTTCAACTTTTCTTTGGTGGGCGGACGGTCGACAGGAACATACCGATTCCGGACAGGGTTTTACGGGCTAACGTCCATGTCGGCAGAGTTCCAACGAGTAATGGACTCAATTTTGAACGAATTCCCACAAGCGAACGCGTTTATTGATGATATTTTGGTTACTACCAAGGGAACGGAAGTAGAACATATCTCCTTGGTTGAAAAGATCCTCAGGAAACTAAATCGCGAAAACATATCGCTGAAATTACCGACATGTGAGTTTGCGGAACGAGAATGTGAGTGGCTCGGTCATCGTATAACCGAAACGGGGGTAAACAGCGTGGTTCTAAACAGTCTAGACAGCTCTCATCCAATCAGAAGCGAGAATGGAAAGCATGCTTACAAACAGCGACGGTTGAGGGCGGAAAGTCATGCGTGAAGACACCGACCAATAGGAAACGATCAATTTGCATAACGCTTAAATCAAAGAAATCCAAGGGACATTCAGTGTGCTCTATATATCGTTCCCTTGGAAGACGGTTAAATTGGCCTATATCAAATAATTTAAGCAAAATGGATAGCGATTCGAATTGTTCTTTCCCAGTAATTGAAATTGATTCCCAAACTAACTCTCCGAATAGACTACACTCTCAGATCAACTCTCCGCTTTTATTGGATGAAAACCTATTGAGTAGCGATGAAATAACTGTCATTAACCCTGAAATGGTGGCCATTACTAAAAATACACGGGATTCAAAAATCAATACAGTACTTTCTATACCCTCGAAATTCCCAGGCGAATTTTTTCCTACCGTTAACCCTAATCAGCAAATTATGTCTATCATTCCCCGTGATTGCAAGATTATCAAGAAATCCCAAGCGTTACCAGAACTATTTAATTTGGAATTTGTTGCCTCGAACATACCGGCCCATGTGAACTTAATACGAGTAAAAGAAGCATTGAAGAAGAAGATTAATTTAAAAGAAGAACTCCTGAAGATCGGGAAGTACTGGGCCCAATACGCAAACGATTTCTCATTACGGGACGATTGTGTGTGGCTAGATGGACGGTTGGTCATTCCCTTGCCATTACAAGTCCCAATTGAATCGCGGATACATTATTACCATCACGGAAAAAGAAACATGTATGAAGGAGCGCGTGACGTTTGGTATCCCTACATGTACCGCAGTTTGGCAGCGAAGGCCACGTACTGTCAGCAATGCACGGAAGCGGGTAAGAACCTAAAAACGTTATTACCCAAAGGAGACATGGGGAAGATCCCTGAACCAAGGGAACCAAATGAATGTATACAGTTGGATTTCTGGGGGCCAATAAACTACTTGAATGAAAGTAAGAAATATGTCTTAGTTGCTACGGACCGTTTTTCAAGGTGGCCATCAGCAATGGTTACTACCACTAACACTTCAGATAAAGTTCTAAAATTTCTCGATAAATACATAACTCAACATGGAGTACCTCGGAAAATCCACGTTGATCAGGGATCATGTTTTACATCTAATAAGTTTAAAAGCTTCTGTAACAGCGAAGGCATCGAGCTAATGTACTCACCAGTAAACGATCATCGGGGTACGGGTTCAGTTGAACGGACAATAGGGAGTTTGAAGAATTTTGTCCTCACCTATGCGACTGAAAAGGAGCATAAGTCTTTAGAATCTATGGTCGATAAAGCGCTAGGCGCGTTACGATTTTCCAAAAATGCAACAAATAAATTAACACCTTTTGAAGCTCACCACGGCCGGGAGGCTAACACCGTTTTACGCAATCTTACGAAGAAACCAAGTTTGAAAAATTTGAATTGGAAGAAGGTCTTAAAACAAAAATGTTTGTGTTTAGACGAGAATGATCCTGAGATGAGTAAAATTGCATTCCCTCAGCACTCAAATTGGGAGGAAAGGTCCGGTTTGACGTACGCTCCAGCTTTAAGAAGGGCCCCTATCATTCTTGATAGCGACCAGCAAATGGACAAGTGTCCAGGGGAGGCATCGGGAGTTGACCCAAAAATCCAAGGGAGTGGAGACACTGGCCCTAACATCCAAGGGAGTGGAGCGCATGCGACCTGTATCAGAGTACCACCAGCAAGACCTTGAATCGGTATAACTCTTAAAATCTAATGTAATCTCCGAATCCGAACATACTATCAAGCTAAAAAACGGATCTGTTCTTAGGAAAAGTGCAGTGGCAGGAAAGCCAAAACCCAACCTTCCCAAGAAGCGGAAGTCGGCTACGCTCAAGGAGATGTTATCGAGCGCGAAGAAGGGGGCAATCGAGAGCCCGAAATCAAAGAGGCCAAAGGCTAGGCAACAAGTATCTGTAGCCACCTTCCAGTCTGACAGTTCTGATAGTGAAGATTACCAGCCACTAAATATTATCCCTCCACGATTACCAGTGGAAGTGTTAGCGAGACACTAAGCGATTGCGGCGAGACAAGGCCCAAGCGGTAGTACAGCAGTAGCAGAACATGGAACGGGAGCAAAATCTAGAGAAGCGAGAAAAGGAAAAGGAAAGCGAGAAAAAGGGGGTCAAGAGAAACGAGGAAAGGGGAGTCAGGACCGACCGGCGCTAGTTGCGAGAGAGTGCCATAGGAACAGTAGCAAAGAAGAAGACGTCGAATCTAGCAGTCAAAGTGAAAGCTCGGGAACCAGAAGAGGTACCAGAAGAAGGAAGCCAGTAGATAAAATGGGAGAAGTCATGATCGAAAATATCCAAGGGGCGGAACAGAAAGGAAAACATCCAGGGGGAGAAGGAAAGTGAACCTTATTTAAAACTCATTTAAAAACTCGTTACCCAGGAAGAGGGATGGCCATAAGCCTAAAACTCAAGTTTGTTGTATCGTGTTAGTTGCGGCGGCAGGTTGAATGTTATTAATTATTATATTAAATTTAAATTACTATGTGTTTAAATTTTACATCCATACGGAAATGTCAGGGGCTACAACATATTCAGTTGTCAATCATCTTAGTTGCTATTCTTTATTTACTTATCTCTGAGAGTTCTCATATTATAATTAAGTGTGAGTTTGGTACCTGCCTACCAATCAGCCTAGAACTGTCTAGCTGTTATGTGTTGACCTCGAGTTCACTCTCTTATTTATGCGAACTAGAAATCAGTCAATTCAGTCTTTAACAAACAACGTTTTTATCATCCCTTGTTAGCATTCTGATTGGTCGAAAATCTGACTGTTCTAATTTACTTAACAAACTCCAGCCCCTTTTTTTAAAGGGGGGATTGTTAAGTAGATCCGAATATTTTTCAGATATAACTTTAAAGCTAAGAAGAGGGAAATGACAAGAACGCCAAAAACAAAGACATCTGAGATGTAATGTGATTGAGAGGCCTTTTATATTTCTGCACTTCTTTTATGTACAAACAACCTTTTTCCTGATCAGATTATTAATTCTTATTCAACTCTACGTAAAAGATATTTTTCGAAAATGATGTTTAACATCCTGAATTCAAAATTTAGCTCAATCTCTAACTCTAACTGTTATACCAACTCAAACTGTAACTGAAACTTCTCAACTCAATTTTAATTCAAGCTCTATGTAACAAAAGTTATTTTTAAAAGTGATGCTATTTATCATCTCAACTTTAATACCTCTGTGTTCTACAGTGCTTAGCCAGTTTTCTTCAGTACATTCAAATTCAATTACATATACAGAATCTGACTATAATCAGTAAAGTGTCGAGCATACGTCTTTTTTCTTTCTAGGATATCTCTGAACTCCTCCGGATGTCTCTGCACCATTTGTGCAACAGCTGCGTCTTTCATTATAATCATGTCTCTGCGTTTCTTGTCCAGAGGTTTGGCAGCTGAATACACACAGAACGCAATTATTGGCAACCTCCAGACACCTAGACAAACACCAAAATTTATAAGCAAAAGACTATTGATAAACAGCGCACGTGCATATAAATGTCCACAGAATCCTATTTTGATTTTTTCCCGTTTTTTTTTGCCGAGGAATCGCTGTATTAAGCTTCGAAAACTAGTTTTCCATGAAAAAACTAAATTTTTCACCGCTTATAGGAAACCTTTCAAATAGTTTACACGGAGGAGAACCGGAGCTTCACACCACTTGCGATACAATACAAACATAAAAAAATATAGGTCGAAAAAAATTTAGATATTGAAAAAAAAAACTAGATGAACCAAATTTTTCGTAGGTCTCAATAAAAAATGGAGGTATGCGTTTAATATAGTATGAATACGTGTTCAATAGCAATACTGATACGGCACGAAAAGTGTGATTTCAAAAATTGGAGTTTGCCTAAAACATTAGTTTCTCTACTAAAATAAGAAAGAAAAAGAAACTTCGAGATAACCAATTTTCCCAAGGATATACAATTTCTCTTAAAGAAAATTATGGAAACGCTCGTTCTGCAGGAACAATTATCGCAATCCGTTCTTTCAATGAAACTTCATCTCAGATTTGATTGTGTAAATTCTAAGAAAATTCAAAAAGTTTCTAGAAAACGGTCGAAAGTTCTAAAAAACGCTCAAAAGACTTTCCAAAATCCAAATTAATTATATGCAAACAGCAGGCTATGACAGCTTAAGCAGAGAAGATTTCCGAAGGCGGGTTTCTAGAGTGAACACAACCTGAGAATTGGTCCGGTAGCTTTCGCGTGAAGTCAATAAGTTTCCAAAAAACTGTCTTTGACTTGTTTGAAGTCCATTACTTTTTTTAACAAACTGGGCAAGGGTAATTTTGAAGAAAAGCTTTCAACAACCTGTTCATTCGATTAAACCTATATTATCAGATTTGGTAGTTAGCGAGGAGAGTAAAAAAACACGATCAACAAATAAAAAATTTGACGATTCCAAAAATCATAGCTTTTTTGTGTGGAAAAATTATGCAGAAACGTTATTCAGAAACGAAAAACGCAACCTGCAATTTCTCATGAAAAAACGGTCACAAAATCAGGTTTACTTTTCGGAGGGGCAAAATTTTACTTTTTGGAGTCAAAAAAATTGTACGTAGTCGCATAAACGAATGAACTTCCCAAAACCTGTTCTGAGAATTGAACCAAAAATCTCAGGTAGGGCAGGGTAGTTTTCGAGAAGAATCAAAAAGTTTAAGAAAAAGGTCAAAAAAACAAAGATTTGACTTTTCAGAGGGTGATAACATCTTGTGTAAAGCTTTTTGTTAGTTTCAGCTAATGCAGAGAAGCTTCCCACTACTCGTTATCTTATTGAAACCACAATATCAGATTTGAGAGAGTAGTTTTCGAGAAACATCAAAAACTTCCAAAAAATTCACAAAATCAAGATTAATAGTTTTCCAGGGCCAAAACTTTTGGAGTAAAAAAAACTTGGGTGTAGTCGCAGTAACAAATTAACTTGCCGAGGCCCTTTTTGATAATTGAACCCTAAAATCTCAAGTATGGCAAGGTAGTTTTCGAGAATATTCAAAAAGTTTCAGAAAAGATATCAAATATTTGACTTTTCAGAGAATGATAACTTCTTGTGTGAAACTTTTTGTTAGTTTCAGCTAATGCAACGAAGCTTCCCACTACTCGCTATCTCATTGAAGCCACAATATCAGATTTGAGAGAGACGTTTTCCAGAAAAACCAAAAACTTCCAAAAAAAACGGTCACAAAATCAAGATTTATACTTTTCCAGGGCCAAAACTTCTGGAGTAAAAAAACTTGAGCGTACTCGCAGAAACAAATGAACTTGCCGAAGCCCTTTTTGATAACTGAACCCCAAAATCTCAACTATGGCAGAGTAGTTTTCGAAAATATTCAAAGTTTAGAAAAAACGGTCAAAAAATCAAAAACAGAGGGCGATAACATCTTGTGTAAATTTTTGTTGATGTCAAACAAAACAGGAGAAGCTCCCCACTACGTGTTATCTCATTGAACTCACAATATCAGATTTGAGAGGCAAGTTTTCGAGAACAGTCGAAAATATCCACAAAACGGTCAAAATTTGACTATTCCGAGGGGCCACAACTTTATTTGCATAAAAACTTGGTCGTAGCTACTTATGCAGGGAAGCTTTCAAACAATACTAACCATTGACTCCAAAAAATTATATTTGAGACCGGTAGTTTTCGAGAAAATGAAAAAATATGGGTTCAACATTCCTCCACGAAGGCTGTAGACAAGGGGTCAAGTAAAATATTCTAGGGGAGTATGCAGGCACACAGAAAAAAAGCGGTCTTTAAATTGATTCCTCTTTTTGAAAATCAAGAGAAAATTCTGAAAAAAATTAGTTTTTTTGGAAAAATAGAAAAAATTTTCCGAAAAAAACGAAATTTCAACAAACAGATTGATAAACATAGTCAACTCCAAAAGTACGGAGGCGAATGCTACAATTGTGTTGATCTTGAAACGTCCCAAGTTAGGTCACTAAACCGATGAAAAAATAGGTCGAAATGATTTTTGCCGAATAAGCTATGTAAAATCATAAGGTAGGCATTAATCACAGCATTAAAAAATAAGCATAGAAAAAAATATTCCAAGATGTGACAGCTCAGCCGATATCAGATAAGCAGACAAATAACTGGCCGACAACTTTTTTTGAAACTGAATATTTCCCGTTTGAAAAAAAAAACAGCTCCTGGTCAGACTCGAACCGAGGACCTTTGCCGTCCCAGGCCATTTGTTACCTCCAAGCTAAATTGGCCAGGAACGCTAAGAAAATTGAGCGCATTAGGAAACAAGGTAAAAATGAGTCCAGACGTTCAGATGAGTCCTGTGGACAAAATTGTTTACGTGAAAAAAGTCTAGTACCCGGTTACAATGCCCTTGCTTGGCAAGGGTAAAAAGTTTGAAACGATCAAAAAATCATAAATTCGAATCTTCAGAGGGCGACAACTTCTTGTGTGAAACGTTTTGTTAGTGTGCCTAACACAGAGGCGCTACCCACTACCCGTTATCTCATTGGACCCACAATATCAGATTTGAGAAGTTAGTTCACACAACACTTAAAATCAAAAATTTGACTATTCCGAGGGCCATAATTTAGGTGCAGAAAAAAATTGGGCGTAGCCACTTCTGCCGGGGATTTTCAAAAGAGTTCTTTTCATTGAAACCAAAAACTCTTATTTGACAGGTAGTTTTCGAGAAAACAAAAGAACTCAAAAATATGGGTCAAATAATCCACCACACTTCTTCGAAAGCTGTAGACAGAGAGGCCAGGTAAAAAAAACTCGAGAGGGGAAAGCAGGCACACAGGCGAGTAAGCGGTCTTTCAATTGATAATGATTTTTTGAAAATCAGAAGTTTGAGAAATAAACCTTTTGCAAAAAATGAAAAAAGTTTCCAAAACGAAAAAAAAAATGAAATTTCAAAAAATAAATTGGTAAACATACAACCAACTTGAAAAAGGCGGAGTAGAGAGCTAAAATTGAGTTCATCTTGAAACGGCTCAAAATTAGGTCATTACGACGATGAAAAATAAGCCGAAATATATTGGGCCGAGGAATTTTTTTAGCGAAACAAAAAAAACCAGGAAGGGAAAACGAAGTCAAAGTAAGTAAAATTACAATTTATAGGCGTAAACCAACCCCAAAAAACAGCATAAAAAATCGCGCAGAAAAAAAAACAATTTCGAGATGTGACAACTAAGCCGACAACAGATAAGGAAGCAGAGAAAAAATTTGCCGAGAATTTTATTTGAAACGGAATGTTTCTCGTTTGAAAAAAAAACAGCCCTGGTCAGATTCGAACCCAAGACCTGTGGCGTCCCCAGCATATTCGTTACCTCTAAGCTAAGTTGACCGTGAAAGTTAAGAAATTTGAATACAATGAAACAATGCAGGGATGAGTCCAGCAGACGAGTCCTGTGGATAAAGTTGTTTACGGGAAAAAAAGACTAAAACCCGATTTCAAAGATAAAGACGTACTCGCTCATTGAAATTAGACTGAAAATCAAAACTTCAAATCCGCTTCTATCGAAACCGAAATTTCTTTATGTTATTTCAATTACAGCGGAAATAGCTTTTTTATTTATCAGGAGAAAATCATAAAAAACGTCATATCTCGAAAACTACGCAGATTTAAATTCAGCGTTTATTTCATCAAGTTTGAAATTAGCAACCCAATAGAAGGACATTTTCAGAGTTTTCCCAGGTTTTGCGATTCTGGCCTCCATAGATGAATAAACCAAATCCTTTTAGTTTACGAGATAAGCAATTTTCGAGATTTTTCAAAATTTTCTAGAAAACTTAATTTTGAAAACTTCTCAATTTTTGAAATTTTCACCCTGTAGCTGGGTGCTTTCGGGTTACTCTCAGGGGTTGCGAATCTTGCCTCAACTCTCACTGCTCAAATCCTTGTAGTTTTCGAGATATGACGTTTTTTTTTTTTTTTTTCAAAGAATTTTCAAAAACTCAGATATAAGAGTTTTCACAAAACTTGAAATTATCATCTCTGTAGTGAGACTCTCTCAGGGTACTCTCAGGAGTAGCGAATTTTGCCGCCAAATAGCAAAATTCGCAACACCTGAGAGTACCCTGAGAGAGTCTCACTACAGAGATGATAATTTCAAGTTATGTGAAAACTCTTATATCTAAGTTTTTGAAAATTCTTTGAAAAAAAAAAAAAAACGTCATATCTCGAAAACTACAAGGATTTGAGCAGTGAGAGTTGAGGCAAGATTCGCAACCCCTGAGAGTAACCCGAAAGCACCCAGCTACAGGGTGAAAATTTCAAAAATTGAGAAGTTTTCAAAATTAAATTTTCTAGAAAATTTTGAAAAATCTCGAAAATTGCTTATCTCGTAAACTAAAAGGATTTGGTTTATTCATCTATGGAGGCCAGAATCGCAAAACCTGGGAAAACTCTGACAATGTCCTACTATTGGGTTGCTAATTTCAAACTTGATGAAATAAACGCTGAATT